GCTAGACAGGTGGGGATTCAGTGTGACGTGACCATGCACAGTGTGGCTGTACAGTAGGATCGCGACAGAGATGCACGATGCAGCCATGCGAGATGATGGTTGGGGAGAAAAGACGAATGTACTACTACCTTCGTACCAAATTAGAATATGTTTTTTAGCCTAAATAAAAAATACCTAATATTTTAATACCGAGGTAATACATGAGGACCCGTGTGGTCATTGAAAGTAGAGAGTGACCCCGGCCGGCATTCTTATTTTCCCGATGCTCCGAACTCTAAAGTTGAAATAAAGACCGGTGGACCCGTGTAGAATTTAAAAGTACATGGTGCTGATTTCAGGGGTTAAGAGGTTTAGGTTCGATTCCGACAAGCCATATGAATTGGTGTATTTGTTTTGAATGAACTGGCTCACATTTGGCCGAGGTATACGACGATGCACACCAAGAACTATGGGAGCCAACATGTCGCCAACCACTAGTCTTACTTTTAATAATTTTTCATGTTTTTAGAAGTTTTGTTTCCAGGAAAATGTTTGAAATTTAAAAAACACAATTTTATAATATATATTTTACATTTTGATAGGTTTTTAAAATAAGTAGTACTAGCTTCTAAAACCCTTTTTTGGGAAAAGATTCACATCAGGCGGCTGATTTCACGCTCACATCCGCCGCTCCCTTTGCTTAACACGTGGCCACCCACGTCTTATCTCTTCATCTCTTTCCCTCATCTTATCTCTCTCCCAACATCTTCTTCTGCATACAAGTGCTTATCAATGGCATACATCTTGCCTGTGAGAGAAGAATGTTGACGAGGCAAGCTGGTCGGAAGTCTGGCGCTCATCGGCGGCGGCGCGATGGCGGAGACAGGTGGTGCCACTCCTCCTCACCACCGTCTGGCGGGAGCTCGTGGCGAATGACAATGGTGTTTTTTGCAACATCCAATTTGTTGCTAGGAAGATTTCTGCAACATTAGTCATGTTGTAAAACTTTCTTCCATATCACCATAAAAGATGAAGACAAAAAAAATCTGCAACATCACCTCAGTTGTCAAGTTTCTGCAACAATGCCTTTGTTGCAAAAAAGTGAAGACAGAAAAATAAATTCCGCAACACGACCTATGTTGCAAAAAAAATCCCGCAACACAACCTATGTTGCAAAGATATATCCACAAAACAATCATTTTTACAAATGTTTCTGCAACAAAACCTTCGTTGCAAAGTAGAGAAAGACGTGCAACCACTCGATTTTGTCAAATCCGATGGCTATCGAGGCGGCAGATCTTTTAAAAAGATCCGCCGGCCGACGCATAGCAGCCCCTTTTTTTTGAAAAAACCCGACTAAACACGAAAGGAGAAAAATAGAGAAGTGGTCACGGGCCAAGTGGGCCGGTCTCGTTTGACATCTACGTTGCCTAAAAAAGTATAGTTTTCACCCTCAAATCCTGCCCAATGTCTTCATAACCCCCCAAAGTCGATTTTGGTCTGATTTAGACCCCAAAAATGTCAATACCGGTTTAGGCCCTGTTTGGTAGTCCGCCGGCTCCAAAAAATACGAGGATCTACGGAGCGGGTGTTTCCCCGCTCCCTTATTTTCAGCTGAAGCTACCTCCGCTCCGAGAGTGGAGTTCTGGAGTGGTGAGACTCCGAACAGGCCCTTAATCTTCCCCTGAGTGGTTTAGTGTCACATCAAGAGTGGTTTTGCATCTGATTTTGGGATTAGGCACTGATTTGTCACTTACGTGGCGTGCTTATGTGGCAGCTGGTCGCTGAAATAAGTGGGCGTTCATCTTCGTGCTGTTTCGCCTTCCTAGTGCAGACAGGAAACCGGAAAGGCCGCAGCGCCGCCGTCCACACCTACTGCAATTGCGTCGCCGTCGTCGCCGGCGGCGGCCACCGTCTCTCTTACTTGACGTCACCTTGGCATGAGATAGAGGAAGCACGCGGTTTGTCGTATTCCGCGGTTAGGGCTACGCTGCCCTCAATCGTCGCGAGTCTGTCTTCATCGAAATCAAGCGATGGCTTCAGGTATGCTTACCGCACATGGGATCAGTAATGTTCGTGTTAAGGGTATTCGTGATAGCTCTGTTGTTTTGATATTAAAATGGGCTATTTTGCGGATGACCGGCCTGTTAATTTCAGAAATAAAGTAGATGAATTTGCACTGTGCTTGTAGTGATGATTGTCTTATAGAAACAGAACGTGACATCTTTGACCGAATTTGACTGCTGAAGAGTGTTAACTCTGAATTTTGACTGTTGTTTTAGTAGTACAGTATAAATACTCTGAATTTTGACAGCATTTGTACAGAACTTTTACTGTAATTTTAGTACTGCAGTATAACTAGTCTGAATTTGGACTGAATTCAGAGTAGTTTTAGTAGTTTTGAGTACAGTTTTGACTGCAGTTTCAATAGTGCAGTTGCATTTGACTGCAGTTTTAGTAGTTTTGACTGTATTTTCAGTAGTTTTAGTAGTTTTGACTGCAGCTTCAAGTTCTGTACATGTCATTTATCTTCATGTCACATGCTTGGTGCCGTGGTTGTATATTTTTATTTTCTTGGTGCCATCTATTGTAACGTGATGTACTTTCGGGGTTTATCCCCACTAATCTGGGAATATAATGAGGGTTTTAGTTTGCCCAATTAAACTAGTGTATTTAGACAGAATATGGACTGAATTATGATTGCATTTGTTTACTTTGTAAGTATAACCGAGAAAAAAATTCATTTATTTTGCAGCTCGTTTGGATCCGCGAGATCCACTTAATTACTTGTTGGCCAGATATCATTAAACCGGCTCGTTTGAGAGGAAAAATGGACAGGTTGACTATTCAGGAGAACTAGAGGCAGAGGTGTTTATGCTCAGTTATGCAGAATTGTGTGCTTACACTGAGGAATTTTTTTTCTAAAAAATTCAATCTTCTGAACATCCTACAGACATTTTCTTATAAATTCTCAGCATGAAGCACTACTCATGTGAATTACAACAGGCACTACTCACGTCTAAATCTTGCTAATTTTATCTGCAAGTCTTCTACTACTTAAGGACCTACTTCTACTACTGCTGTGTGCTTGAATTGCATCTCATTCACAAACAACCTCATGCCCATCTCCAGTCAACTACCTTCGCCATGCAAGCTTCAACCTAGAACGAGATTCTTCAATTACATATTCTCCTTTTTCAGACGATTCAGCAACACCATGTCACGATTCACCAACAGTCTAGACCCTGAAATTGCATTGCAATCAGCTAACAATGGACTTTTCCAAGAAAATAGGCTCACACAAGAACAACAAGAACACACCTTTGATATCCTGGTACCTTCGCCCTGGATTCAACAGGCTTCAGGTAATCTGCCGATGGGCTTTCACTCCGCATCCGCACAACACTAACTTGTACTGCAACGGACCCTCATGATATGGCACCGGCGACAGTGTCGCCGCAGCCGTACCACTAGAATAGGACCTGCGTCCTGTGGAGGAGCTAGCCGAGAAGCTCGCAGATGACGCCATGGACTGCAGCCGATTCAAGAGTGAGGCCTGAATTCGAGCGTGAGGTCTTGGATCGAGTGAGCGAGCGTCGATGGGGAATTTAGGGTTCAAGCGCCCATTTGTGGAATTTATGAATTGTAAACACTGGCCGGGAAACAAGTGACCATTTGCCACATCAGCGCCAAGTGATCATCAAATAAATGAAAACCACATGCGAAACCACTCTTGATGTGACACTAAACCGCTCAAGGGTAGATTAAACTGGTATTGATATTTTTGGCGTCCAAATCAGACCAAAATCGACTTTAGGAGGTTATGGAGACATTGGATAGGATTTGAGAGTGAAAACTATACTTCTTTCAAAAAACAAAAGGAGCTCTCTGCCGCCTGATCTTTTTAAAGATCTGTATTCCCGGTTCCCTTTTCACTTGTAGTGCCGTTTTAGGCTGAACTGCTCCTCTAAGGGCATTTCCAGCCGCGCCCCAGGAAGGCCTTCCCAGGCGTTTTTTTTTTGCGCCGGCACCGGAAAATCGGCCCAGTCGCGCCCCCAGGAGCCCGATTTTCGCCGGCTTGGGCCGAAAACAGCGCCGGCGGACCCAGGCCGAACCCGGCGCGCTGGGGGGCGCCCGGGGGCGCCGGGGCGAACTGTTTTGGCGCGAAACAGCCGCGGGCCCGCCGCGTCAGCGACTCTACCCTTTTCTCGCCCCTTCGTCGTCCTCATCGCCTCGTTTCCCGCGGCGAATCAATGCCAAAGCTGCCGCGCTGCCGCGTCGGTCAGCCTGCGCCATTGATGCCTCACGGGTGGCGCAGTGAAGACCGGATGACGCGCGTCCCTCGCCCTCCCTCGCCCGCTTCGTCCTCGTCGAGCCCAAGCCGGAGCCCGGCCTCCCCGCGGAGTACGAGGAGGTAGCCCGGCGTGGCTTCTCCGACGAGGACGCCCTGCGATGGGCGCGGGACGACTACCTCCGCGACGAGATGGTCCGGCAGCGCCGGGCCCTGGAGGAGATCGCCACCCGCAAGCGTGGGCGCGAGGACGAGCACGGCGTCGTGGTCCTCGACAACGACGACGACGACGACGCCCCCGACCTTCCAACCCGCCGCGCCAACCGGGGAGGGATGCAGCAGGAACGGCGGAGGCGTCGACGGGGGCGACGACGACGACGAAGACGGCGGTGACTACACGCGGTTCTACCGTCTCCTCGGCATGTAGAACCACGTGGGCGGGCGGCGAGGCGGGCGGCGAGGGAGACGGCGGGGGTAGCCCGAGGTAGTTTTTCCTTTTTTATAAAATATGTTTAAATTTGAACGAATTCGAACGTGTTTGCGTTATGTTTGCGCCGAATTTAAACATTTTAAAAACCTGTGAGGCAGCCCCTAAGTGAGCTGCTGTATAACTGGAGATCGCGTTTTTGGTTTCATGCTGAGTAATGGAACCGGGGAGGGGAACCTCTCTGTTCATCTAAAAAACAAAAGGAGCTCTCATTCTAGTGTTTCAGCCGAAAGCTTCTCGGCCATGGCAGTGGCCGCCTCTCCATCTCTCAGTCTTCCTCCACCTACGCAGCGCGCCACCCCAAAGCCGCGCCGCCGTACGCCGCCGCGAGACGTGGTCTCATGGACGTCCGCCATCGCGCGCCCGGCGCGGGAGGGCGACCTGCCGGCGACGGCCGCGGCGCTCTCCGCCATGCTCTCCTCCCCCGCCGCGCCCGCGCCCAACGACGTCACCCTCCTCACTGTCCTCTCCGCCTGCGCCGGCTCTCCCTCCTCCCCGTTCGCCCGGCCCCTCGCGCTATCGCTCCACGCCCTCGCCATCAAGCTGTTCCCCGGCCACCTCCTCCTCTGCACCTGCCTCGCGCGGTTCTACCTCGCGTCCCGCCTCCCCCACCACGCCCTCCAGCTGTTCGGCTCCATGCCCGTCAGGTCCGTAGTCACCTACAACACCATGATCACCGGCCTCATGCGCAACGGCCTCGTCGCCGCCGCGCGCGAGGTGTTCGACGGAATGCCGGACCCGGACAAGGTCTCCTGGACGGCGCTCATCGACGGGTGCGTCAAGAACGGGCGCCATGACGAGGCGATTGACTGCTTCCATGCCATGCTGCTGGACGGCGTCGAGCCAGACTACGTCACGCTGGTAGCTGCCATCTCCGCGTGCGCTGAGGTCGGCGCGCTCGGCCTCGGTATGTGGGTGCACCGGTTCGTGACCAGGGAGAGGCTGGAGGGCAACATCCGCATCGCCAACTCGTTGATCGACATGTATGCTCGGTGCGGTCAGGTGGAGTTTGCATGGCAGGTGTTTGATAGCATGAGGAAGCGGACGGTGGTCTCCTGGAACTCGATGATTGTCGGGTTTGCAGCCAATGGACGGTGCGTGGACGCCATCGAGCATTTCAAGGCAATGCAGAGGAAGGGGTTCAAGCCGGACGCTGTGACGTTCACGGGCGTGCTCACGGCCTGCAGTCACGCCGGTCTCACCGATGAGGGGCTGAGGTACTATGACGCCATGAAGGCGGAGCATGGCATCACAGCAAGGATGGAGCACTACGGGTGCGTGGTCGACCTGCTCGGCCGGGCAGGGCGCCTGGACGAGGCCATGAGTGTGGTGGCGACCATGCCGATGCGGCCGAACGAGGTGGTGCTGGGAGCTTTGCTTGCTGGGTGCCGGATACACGGGGACGTCGACATGGCTGAGCAGCTGATGCAGTACCTCCTCGAGCAGGACCCTGGCGGCGACTCAAACTACGTGCTGCTGTCAAACATCTACGCCGGCGTCGGGAAATGGGATGGCGCGGGCATGGTCCGGGGCCTGATGAAAGTCCGGGGAGTGAAGAAGAGGCCAGGCCGCAGCGCCGTGGAGATCGACGGCGCCGTGCATGAGTTTGTCTGCGGAGATCGGTCTCATCCGCAGGCTGAGGAGGTGTTCGACATGCTTGGCCTGCTGAGCCATGAGATGGCAGGGCATGAGGCCGTGAGTTATGGATGAGCACTGGAGCGACTGCCTGTTTGGATGAACTCATCAGAACTGCAGGAATGCAGAATACTGGAGGCTTTCAGTAGTCACCAGGCTCGGTGTTTCAAGCATTCGTAAAGGCTACTGGTAGATCAGCAACTTGTATTTGCATCTCTGCGGTTGTTGTGACTCCCGTTTCATGTACAGTCTGGGGAAGAGGCACCCGACCTGTACAGTAATATAGGTACAGGTGATGAGATGTATATTTTTACGTTGACAGATGAGAAGTACTTATCATTGTAAAATCTTGAGAAGCAAATCCACATGGCTTATCAGCTCAATCAAGCATAGACAGTTAGACACTGGATCTCTATAAGGTGAAGAACAACACAAGTTCCTGAACTGATAACGGTAATGTTACTATGGATACATTGGACTACTATTTTTTTTCTTCGATTATATCACTCGTAATGTCTCAACTACTTGCCCCTGTATCCCTGTCAAGAACAATAACAGTACTTACTTCCATATTCATTTCAAAGACAAGAGGGAGATAGTATACATGTCTTTATTTGTGCACATTTTTTCTCGCCTATATATAACTATGGTGACCTCCGACTGCTAGATAGGTAAGAAGAGAACATGGTGCAAACATATACAACTAGTTAGAAAGTTACACCCAAACAAGCATTTCCCTGGTTAAAGGACCTTCTCCGTAGGTTGGTTTGGAAAGAAAAATGTTAGGAATGAGCGACACCAGAAAGGCAGAAATAGTCTCCTTGTACACGGCTGCTGTTTGGGGCAATGCCTTAATCACAGAGTGAGTGAGCAGCTGTATTTGGAGTAAGATGAAAAGGATCAAACATCTATAGAGGCTACTGCTTTGCTTGCGTCCATGAGAACATAAGAGGAAAAGAACCAACAGTAGATTAGAAATTTGTTGTATCTTCAGTTCTTTGGTCTCTCATTGTTACTCCAGATGCATGTACAGTATCATGAAAACTGAAAAGGATCCAACATGTACAGTAATACAATAGGTGATGAGATGAATCTTTTGATGAGCAGGCAAGAAGTAGCACTGCGGATCTTCTAAGCAAATCTACATGCATGGCTGCGCATGCGCATCTGGTGGCATATATGATGACATAGACACTGAAATTCTGGACCTTCTGTGCTAGAAACAGATTGTATTTACATAGGAACTGAACTGTACAGGTATGGAGCAAGATCACAGTCAAATACTACATCCGTTCCAAAATAAGTGCCGCGCGCCGTGGTTTTAGTTTAAATTTCCGTGGTTTGGCACTTCTTTTGGAACGGAGGGAGCAGTCAACAACATGGACAATACGATCAGTTTGCATTGGCAACAGAATGTGAACTGTACAGGTGTGATGTAAGCACGGTCGGAAAGTGAACTGTTGTGTGAGCACTTGGCACTCCACACTGCACATCTTTCATTCCACACACTGAGACTAGGCTACGGGCTCCATGAGAAACAAATCCTGTCAGCCAGCAAGGTACTCCCTCCGTCCCATAATATAAGAGCGTTTTTGATACTAGTAGTATAAAAAACGCTCTTATATAGTATAAAAAATGTTCTTATATTATGGGACGGATGGAGTACCTCTTAAGTAAACATATCTCACTCATGTTGCTGAGCTACCTTTCAACCGAATGCCAATAGGTGCTTCTCATGTTGGAAGCTAGCTATCTCAATGCTGAAATCTCCAGGAAACAATTAAAGCGGGAGCGTGAACAAGGAACACTTTTGGGTTGTAGGATCATCTTCACTCCTCGGTATCACCCACACCTTTCCACATGCGAAATTAAAACCTATACATAGCGATGGAGACAAGTCATTATGTTTGCAGTGAAACCAACTCAATCTTTTAACGAGTGAGTTAGAACTTAGAAGAGATGAAAGCACCCACATTTCTTGATGAGGAAAAGGACGAAAGACTTACCAGCTTATGTACAAGCAAATGTGTTAGCAATATGCACATCGCACACCTTAATGTTGCAGTGGTCTCTTCACAAAAGGGTGCTCCAACAGCTGAGCAGCAGATGGCCGGTCCTTTTGGTTTGCTTGAACACACTTTGCTATGAAATCCCGGGCATCTTCTGATAACGTATTGGGAATTTTTGGTGGTATTCCCCTACCAATTTTGAGCAAAGCATGTGTCTACATGGCAGGAGAGAAGATTGCATGACAGACAGTAACAATACACAACTCTGATATTAAGAAAACCACGAGATCCAAATACAGGGAATGGGTCTGCTACTTTTTTTTTCTTTTGCGGGAAAATGGGTCTGCTACTCGTATCTATGCATTTCTGATTTCCCTAATAAATACATCAAAATAGACAACAGCAATATAGCGGCAGATTTTTTGGGGGTGCCCACTATGCATTATAATACTTGCGCATACAAATGTCATGGAATTCATAGTCCCCTCCCCCTAGGAAGATAGCCCTTGATCTTTCCATTTAAAAAAATTAGCTTAGTATGCAGCTCCAGTATACCAGCGCATTTAAATTACATGTCTTGCAGTATTTAAAACTTAGATGCTGTTCCAGAAAACTAAGGTGACAGAATACGCACCCATTCCATATCAGGGTATGGAACTTTGCCGGTCAGCATCTCCAAAACTGTGCAGCCAAGACTCCATATATCTGCTGGAGGTCCATGTGGCTTAGCCTTAGCAACCTGAAAGAGAGCATACCATCACAAAACGTACACAATTGGGACAATAACAAAATATTTCTTGCAATTTGCTAAATCAAAATAATCCAATAACCTTTCACGGAAAACAAAATTAACAGTTTTAATTAATGTTACACAACTACAAGTATTTAGAGTCACACTGCAACCTACAGTGCTCAACTCTAAACCATCTGTCAGTTATAACTCACTGTTTGGAGTTTTAAATTCTAACTCATCAAGTACGCTAATTCCCTCCACAGACTATGATTCGTTATACTCCCAAGATATTTGTAACCTATTATCTACGTGGACCATGGACTCGTATTCTGGATCATTGAGGTCACAAAGATAATTTAATAGAAGGTAGAAAAGTTAAAAAACGATCACAATAGACCAGGCACAAATATGCTCAAGTGTAATTGTACACACACTCTGAATGTGAGTAAGAACAACATGATGCCTTTATTTCAAGAAAAAGTACGACCAACATGATGTAGAAAAGGCGCAATAGCTCAACTGCATAAACTAACCTCAGGGGCCATCCAGAAGACAGTTCCCTTGCTAGATCTTGCTTGGCTCAAAATTGACATCTGCAAAATGGCAGATTAGAAAGAGTCAGCAGAAAATGGAGTACAATGATAAACTGATAGTACAGCATGTGTTTGATAGAGTAAGTAATACCTCCTTCGCAAGCCCAAAATCTGCCAATTTGACCAAACCATTTGCATCAACTAGAATATTTGCACATTTGATGTCCCTGGTGATCCAGCAATGAACAGGCTCTCAATGGCCAGCGAGAAATATAATACAGAAAAATATATACCAAACAACACATTCTAGTACTCACCTGTGCAGCACATTTCGCTGATGTAGATAGTTCAAACCATTCAAAATCTGCCTTGTATATGCTGATACTTGTGAATCTTGTAAACAATATTTTTGATATAAAGCAGCCAAAGAGCCTTGGGTCACAAGTTCAAGAAAAATATACAATTTGCCATCTTCCTGCAAAACGTCCAGCCCACAAGATTTAGTGTAAAGATCTAGAATCAGCGGTTTATATCACACAAATACTCCCTCCGTAACTTAATGTAAGACGTTTTTTAACACTGTCACAGACTCTAAAAATATCTTATAAAAAGTTACAGAGGGAGTATAATTTACTCAGAGAAAGCAGGAAAAAGAAAATCTAGCTGAGAAATCTCTACATCTGCTAAATCCAAATTATGCCATTCTCAGAAGGGAAAATAACAGAAGGTAATGAAAAGTACACAGGGGCAATAATAATTATTCTGTAATGATTTTACAAGCCATAAGTAACTAGGTTGAACAATATTGTCATGCCATAATTATTATTCTGTAATAATTTTACCTTGTCTGTTCCATAATACTGAACAATATTATCATGCTCCAAACGACTCAAGAGGGATACCTCCTGAAACCAATGATTCACAGCTGATCTCAGTTGACCATATAACCAAGACAGTGATAACAACATAATGTTTTAAGGCAGTGTAAGTGAAACAATTGCTTTAGCATGCCATAACCCACAACTTACATGCTCAAGCTGGACGATGCGCTGTTTTGCATTGATTCCTTGGTCAATCAATGACACTTCCTTGACAGCAAAGAAAAACCCATCACTGTAAGAGAATGTTAAACACAGTCAGTGGAACATTTTGTTGCAGAACACGAGGGCATTTTTTCTAGTTCTACACCAAATGCTCAACAGCTGAAGTTGCACTCTCAACAAGTAACGCAGATGATATGTAACTATCCAGGTGGTATAATAGAGTTATGGTTCACAGTGGCGGAATTTCATGCGCCCCCCCCCCCCTACTGTAGGAAAACTACCCCTAATTATTAGGTTTGAATATCAAAGATTTCTCAGAGTTCATGCATAACCTATCTTCTTCGCCCCCTCAAGAATCTTCATCAAGCTCCGATGACTAAAAATCTAGGTTTCTAACCAGTTCCGACGAATCAAACCAATTTGCGAAGTGCTAGTGGCTGCGTACATCACGACAAGTGTAGCGCATACAACCAATTATGAAACATCTTCTGCTAGACTTAACAAAATGTTGCATCAAATTTGACAAAATTGGTAATTGCAAACCCATAGACATTAACTCGATGAAATGAAATGAGTAATGTTCACAAAGTAAGCAGGTGTAAAACTTACTCGCTGATCGCCTCGTAGACTGACCCGAATGATCCGCTTCCGATATGCCCTCCCTTGATCCAAGATGTGATGGTTCTCCTAAACCGCCTGTTCGGCGACGGCGAGACCAAATGCTCGATGTCACATGAATTGGACTCTGCAACAACGAGAGCCAGGGCACCAGTGGCCTTCTCCCTTGTGGCCTCCACAACCACTTCTCTTGTCCTCTCCTCTCGTGATATTTCCACTTTGGCCAATTTGTCATTCCCCTTCCCTTCACCTGCATTCTCCGGCTCAGACACAGCAGTGACCTCTCGTGTAGAGGTCTCCACTCTCTCTGATTCGACCAATATGGCTTTGGATTCGGCCCATGGTCGTTGATATGATTTTGCTGAAACTTGTATGGTCTCCGATTGGACCAATTCGGTGGCCAACCCAGCTTCCTCCCCGTCGCCGGCTGGCTGCAACCTAGAGGCGACGACGACGTCGCGTCCCGAAATTTCAGGAACCCCCGACGGCAACGCCGCAGGGGACGGCTCCTCGAGCGAGGCGGCGCGGCGGGCGGCGTTGGCGGCGGCGTAGACGGCCGGCGGGATGGCGAAGTCCTCGGGGCCGGAGAGGCCGAGCTGGCGGAAGAGCTCGGCGACCTCCTCCCCGCCGCCGCGGCCGCCGTGGATGCGGAAGCTGGTCTGCGACGCGTACCCGGCCCTGGCGCCAGGGGAGGCGCGGGCCGCGCGGTCGACGCTGAGCTGGATGCGGCCGTAGGCCGCGAGGTCGTCGTCGCCGGCGGCGCCGGCGTCCGCGGAGTAGGAGGAGTTCCGCATGGCGTTGGTGCGCGCCAGCTGCCGCGGGCGCGGGCGCTGCGGCGTGCCCATCGGTGGCGGGCGCGAGCCGGGCCGAGCAGAGCAGCGCGAGCGGAGCGGAGGGGAGGGGAGGGGAGGGAGCGAGAGACGGAGACGCGTCCGCGGTGTAGGGGGACGGGGTTTGACCCGGGCGGGGGTTAGTGCGACGGCGACCCGGCCGTGCCTCTGACTTGGTGGGCTTCTCCTCTGTTCGCCGCTTGCTCTGTCGGGAAGGTGGGAGTCGCTGTGCGCAGCGCGCGCACGTGTGTTTGCGACGGCGAGGGGGCCGTGCCCGTGCCGGCGATCGGACCGGCCGTGGGTGCGCCGTGCGTCAACGCGGCAGCGGGAGGGAGGGGAGGAGCAGGTCGTGCCCCAATCTGCTGCACCGCGACGCAAGAATGGACGAGCAGCTGAGCACAGAGCACCAGGGGAAGAAGCAAGCCGTTGGGTCAGCGGGAGGGAACAGTCGTCAGGGAGCATATAGTAATAGCGGTCAAAGATGGATGTTTCGTGAACGACAAAGGTGGAGTATGTCAAGGACGATGGATGGATGCTTCCTCGGCTCCGCGACGACGGCGACCACGTCTCTCTCTTCGTCGATCGGTCGATGGCGGCCTTCCATCGCCTACGTACGTGCCACCGCCGGAGACGGCGACCTGCCTGTCGTGTCGCCTGGTGGTGCTGCATCCGCCGATCCCAGCCAGCTGTCGCTCCAAGGCCGAATGTTTTGCTTTGTGTACACTCTCACATATGTGTATTGCGTATGTGCAAAAATTCATAACCATATACTTTCACACGTGGCGTACAGAAAAAAGACAAAAACATATTTCTAAAATGGGCCGCTTTTTTTGTTGTTGGGCCGGAATTTTGTCTTTTTTATACAGCCTACAAAATACAAAAATTTCAAATGATTTTTTCACACGCGCATGCAGTAATCTAATAAGTTTCTATGTAATTTTTTTTTGAATTTATTTGAAACTTTAAAATATGACTTTTGATTTTTTCAAAAGTACCAAGCTCCCTGGAGCTCGGCCTCCGTTGGCATTTTCCGCTCTTACCGGTCACATCCTCCTCGGCAAAAACTGTTTGCTTTCTCCTATAGTCATGTATCTAAATATGGGCTAAAAAACGTATCTAAATATGTAAGCGTGCACTTTGTTTTCATGCCAACACATGCCTTATTCTATATACTTAAGAAATTCATCCTCATTATAGGATTTATCTCAACATGCAAAGTATCCACATCATCACCATGCCACCTTCAGCTGTTCTGTTGAAGCATCATCATTTTCTGCCGCTGACACGAAGGAGGAGTCACTGATATAAATTCCAAACCAATCCTCCCCAATTAACTCCCCCACTCATCTCCCCGTTAATTCCCCCGCCCATTGATTTCCATAAATAGATCATATTCATCTTCTTCGCATAATCGGAGGAGTAACAAATGGAGAGATTCTTCCCTTTAAGTTTCCATCATCATAAGAGCGATTCTTACCCTTCAAGTTCCATCTTCATCAGATTAGCTCTCCCCTTTAAGCTTCATGTAATGTTTGAGTAATGTATTGTCAAATCATTGTGTGTGCGCATATCCTTCCATGCAGGTTGATTCCCCAAATTAATTATTTAGTGTTTCCTTAAAAGTTCAATTAAAGTTCATTGTAGAATTGCTACTGATCTGATTTGTTAGTAGGTTTGTTTCATTTTTTCACAGATTTTACCATCGTGCATCGCTAAAAAGGACCTCTGAAGAATTTACCTTACAAAAAAGCACAATGCTTTTTTGATTGTATAACCCCCATAATATTGTTTGTTGTTCTTTCCACATATATTATTTGTAAATGCAAGTATGTGCTGAATGTATTTCTGACGAATAATCAAAATGTCTTGGTGTTTGCAGGTTAATTTTTCCTCAAGTTTGCAGTTGTCTTCCAATCATTCTCATATGAAAATGCCGTGAGTTACTTTAGCATATACTAGCTTACCCCCCGCGGCGGCACGCCGCGTCCGTCGATATGGTGCGGCTATATGAATTATGTTTTTTCTTGGTAATAAGTGTTGTTATTTTAGGATGCCAGATGATCGCATGAAAACTATGGATGTAGGAGAAAAAAGATGGGAGGATGATGCATGTGAATAAACAGGGGAATACACGATGACGCATCTCCAGTAGGGATGATTTATTTTGCCGAACATGGTGCGAGTCATTGCCAGATTAGATCATCTGGTGTAGCCTCCCATTGGATTAGCTCCTATGATGAAGTAGTAAAGAGACGCAACTAGTCGGAATATATATACACCGTATGTAGTTAATAATTTTTTCCTTCTTCATACATTTTTTTACTATCACCGAGAAGTGACCGAGCCAAGCAGGTGGCCAATCTCGTGCACCGTCGCTGACTACTCCAGGGAAGCAATCGCGTCCAGCGACGACAGGGACACGTCGCCGGCGGTCACCCATGCCTTTGGGGCGCCCAAGTGGAACCAGCTCGCCAGCGTGCCCGTCGGTCGTCGAACACCTCGATGTCCCGTGGTGGACGTCGACACCCTCCACATGGTAGCGACAATGATGCAGTTTCTCGCTCGGCGAAGTAGCAGCGACAGAGGCTGGACGCGGCTCCTCCCCGGCAAGCCCGGAGGTGCAGCGTGGAGAGAGCCCGCGGGAAGCCACCCTGAACCTTGGAGCGCGGCTCCACAACTCGCGATGGCCGATCTTGCTCTGTATTGCATGTCGAAGAAAGGAGGAGCCTAGGAGGGAGGGGCATGCCCGGCGAGGAGGTAAACGATGCTCCTTTCCATCCCACACGAGAGAAGCGGAGGGAGGCTCGATGTTTTGCGCCGATGCTATTTCTCGGTGGTGCTTCGGTTGAGATGCGAAAGCGAGTGATGACCACAGAGAAGAGGAAGGAGAGATTTATAGATGCTTATGGCGGTGGACGATTCAATCGGAATCTTTCAGAAAACACCTCGATCATCAAAGGGCGGTAAGCCACAGAGGCATCCAGAAGAAGAAGAGTGGAAGGAGAAGTAAGCGATGAGGCAGATACGAAAGCAATGAAAGCGGCAGATTGGACGGGATGCATGCAGCGCACATGCGAGGGAGACAGAAGGAATGTCCTGTATCTGGCCTAGAATCGCGCCCAAGCGGTGCGGTGGCTGTCTTGGCCATATCCCTCTACCGTCTTGTAATTGGATGTAAATTGCCCGTCCCGCTGCCTGCGCATGTGCTTTGTAACTGGACGTAGTTGCCCATCCCCCGATCACCGCTTCGCCAGACTGTTATTGGTCGGCCACATATCCAAGCAATGTGTTCCGATTGATCTGCATGCATGCGGTGACTGATTTGCCCACGTTCCTTTGCTAAGCATCGATTTGCTTGTTTCTTGTCTGTTGCCGACGACAAAAGCAAAACTGGAAACCAACACACCGCATGGCCGACTTAATTACAACATAAACGGCTAGAAGCACACGCCAGTGAAGCAAGCACGTTCAAAAAATTTAGCCGATGCAGATACGCCCACACATGCATTTGTACACAGCCACATCCCAAAAAAATGCACACGTCAACAGCCCAAACGCCCATAGGTTGCTTTCAAGATCAAACAATCATCTGAACCAAAATCACTAAAGACACCCCAAGTGCACACGGAAAAATGTGAATCAGTTAACAAAATTTTCAACGAAGGCCTACGGCCACCGCGTGATTCTACACGGTAATCTACCAAAATAATGCACGCGTCGCCATCCAGCTGATCAAGAAGTCACTTTCACACAAGTGGGTAAATCTGGAGGCAAAAACTTTTCGAGATATAGTGGTTTTGGTATGTGGAACAGAGAATGTTGACAAGTATAGGTCCGAACAGTTGAAGGAAGATCATAAAAAAACATTTGAAGGAATGTCAACATATTTTTTCTGTCCATTCTCATTAGTCTTGTATGGACCTAAGAGCTGTATTATGAAACAAGATACAAACTGTTCGAAAGTTGTCGAAACTCCAATGGATAAGCATCAGTAGTGATCGCTCCTTATTATTTCTAACCTCTATATTCAATAGTTTTTCGTATTATTTCTAGCATCAGTACTGATCGCTCCATTTGAAGGAATTGGGTAGTTCTCATGTGTCCGTATGATGGATTTACAAAAGCGGAAGAAGTCCCTATGTTATCCATGCCAATCTGGTTGCAAATCCATAAGTTGCCGGAGGGCTTCTGTCGGAGGAACATAGTGGAATCGCTGCTGAAGAAGTCTGGTGAGATCATGGATATGAGGCTGAACGGAAATACCCGGGGTGACTATGTGAGGGTTAGGGTTCGCCATGACATACGTCGACCCCTTACAAAATTCGTGAGTATTGTCAGAGGAGATGCAAGGCAGGTGTACATGGTTCGCTATGAGAAACTTGCCCACTTCTGCAGTGTCTGTGGACTGATTGGGCATGATGTTAAGGAGTGCGGAACCGGGGTTCATGATGTGAAAGACATGAAATATGGGAACTGGCTGTATGCAGATGGTCCGAATAGAGGAAGAACTGATGATGTTGATCGTGGCAACGTTAAGCAGAAGCAACAGCAGCGCCCCCCAGCCAAAGAGAAAGATGGGAAGAAAATTGTTGACTCGGACTCGGCTGATACTACATCTGGCCCGGTGAAAACCAGTACCAGGGATATGCAGGTCGGCCCACCGGCTCGTAAAAGGCTAGCTATGGACTGCGCAGGGGAAGAAATACCTAGTACAACGGCTGCTTTAGCTCTTACCCAAGGGCTAGGAGAAGGCGGTGATGCGCCTTCATCGCCGTGCAATAGCTCAAACAACAAAAAGGCAAGGTTTGACTCCCAGGAGTTTTCGGATGATAGATCGGCGGCCTCCCTAGAGGAGGACCGCCGGGCACAATGAGTATCTTAGCATGGAACTGCCGGGGGGGACCGCCGGACAGTTCGTGAGGTGTTGGCCCTCGCAAAAGCCAATTCCCCGGGGCTGATCTTCCTATCAGAAACACATCAAGCCTCTAGCCAGATGGAAAAACTTAGAAGGAGAC